CTGAGAAATCCTCAAATATTTGAAAATTAAACCACAAATTTCTAAATAACATATAGGTCAAAGAAGAAATCTCAAGATAAATTTTTAAATATTTCAAACTAAATGAAAATAAAACTGCAATTTGTTAAAATTTTTGGGATAACAGAAAATCCCAAACAGTCTATGGGGGACCTAATAGACTGGACCTAATGAGAATATATATAGCAAGGTAACAGGGTACAAGGTCAATACACAGAAAATCAGTTGCTTTCCTATATACCAGCAATGAACAATTAGAATTTCAAATTTTAAGAAAGCAATACTATTTTCAACAGCAGGAAAACAGTGAAATACTTAGGAATAAATATAACAAAATATGTACTGGATGCAAATCTAGAAAACTACAAAACACAGATTAAAGAAATCAAAGAAATCTAAATAAAGGGAGAGCCATTCCATGTTCAGGACAAAGAGGACTCAATACTTTTAGGATATCAGGTCTTTTCAGCTTAATGTATATGTTCAATATCATTTCAGTCAAAATCTCAGCAAGCTATATGGTAGATGTAGATGAAATGATTCTCAAGTTTATATGGAAAGGCAAAAGACCTAGCAAAACCAAAATGATACTGAAGACAGTGTGGTTGAATGTGGAAAAAGACAAACTCTTTTTGCTCTGCTCTCACAGAACACTCAGCACAGGTTTCTGTGACCAGATGTGTGGGAGTACACACACTAAATGAGCAATCAGTTTTGTAGTGGACACCAGATGAATGTCCTCTAATTTGGTGTAATTTCGATACTAACTAGCTGGAGATGGCATCAGATATCACAGGTTGAGAGCTGTCTCCAAAATGGCCACGTCCCCTCCCCATGCCCACCTCCGCCTTCAGATGTGACTCCAAAGCTCCAGGTTATTTTACCAGTATTTTTGACAAACTTGGCTATAAATTGGGTTTCCACAACCCCCTCACTGAGTTCCATTAATTTGTTAGAGTAGCTCAAAGAATTCAAGGAAACACTTTGTTAGATTTTTTTAAAAAACAATCATTTTATTGCTTCCATACCTAGATAATTTATGCGACCAGTGCAGAGGCTGTGGATGACTCATATTTCCAATCAAGAGGGAGGACTCGCTTGGTCTGATAATATCGGGCCAAATGATGAATCTGGCTCTCTATCAGAGTCCGATAGAATTTAGCATCCTTTATCTGATGCGTGAGGGTGTCAGGCCCTTCTTGGCCAGTTTGTCAATCTGCTCCTTCACGTCATTGGAAGTCAACTTCAGCCACCAGGAGCATGCATGTGATCCACGATGAAAGTGGTCAGGCAGCAAAAGGATGTTGGGTTATTATAAGGAACATTACAAGGGATGTAGATGAAAAGATGCATGCGGCAAGGCCTGCGGGAAGGGGCACAGTGCTTCATGCCTTCTCCCAGTGTGCCGCCCTCCAGGACCCTCCGCCTGTTTTGCTGTCTGGAATCTCCCCAAGTTCTGGCCTTTTGGGTTGTGATGGAGGCTTTATTACCTAGGTGTGATTGATTAAGTCATTGGTCATTGGTGATCAGCTGAACCTTCCGGCCCTTCTCCCCTCCCCTGATGTTGGGGAGTGGGGCTGAAAGTCCCAACTCTCTAATCATGCCTTGGTCCTTTTGGGGAGCAATTCCCAATCCTGAAGCTACCTGGTGCTGTTGGCCAACAGCCAATTCATTAACATGTAAAAATACATCATTTTGGAGATTTCAAGGATTTTAAAAGTTGTATGTCAGGAAATGGGGAAGACCAAGTATACATTTTATAATAATCACCGTGGTGTTAAAGAAAGAATGCACACAGAGATCAATAGGACAGAGTGGAATACAGTTTGAGGTAAAGCCAACAGAATTTGTTGTAAATATGAATCGAGGAAAAAAAGGAATCAAGGACCATCTGTAAGAGATGGGAGAAAGATCAGGTTAGAGAATGTAAAATGTCTCAACTTTGAAGGTTTTTTTTTTTTTTTTTTTTTTTTTGAGACGGAGTTTCGCTCTTGTTAGCCAGGCTGGAGTGCAATGGCGCGATCTCGGCTCACTGCAACCTCCACCTCCTGGGTTCAGGCAATTCTCCTGCCTCAGCCTCCTGAGTAGCTGGGATTACAGGCACACGCCACCATGCCCAGCTAATTTTTTTGTATTTTCAGTAGAGACGGGGTTTCACCATGTTGACCAGGATGGTCTCGATCTCTTGACCTTGTGATCCACCCGCCTCGGCCTCCCGAAGTGCTGGGATTACAGGCTTGAGCCACCGAGCCCGGCCAACTCTGAAGTTTTAATCAAGGGTTGTAGGGTCTACAATTCTTTGAGATGCCCCCCATGTCCCTCCTAACACTTCAGCTATTCCTGGGGCTGAGGTCTCCCTAATTACTGGCCCCACACCTCCAAGCTCAGCCCCCCTCTCACTTCCCTTTCCTCTTCTTTGAGGCGGGGGTGTTGGGGGCTCTGCCAGTGACAGCCAATGAGCAGGGTGAATGCTGCCTCTAGTCTTGGTTTTAAGAGGCTTCAAGCTTTGTGTGCCAAAGATCCCATTACCCTACATCAGTGTGTTAATGAAGCATGAGACAAGCTGGGGAAGGGAAAGAGAATGAATGAAAGAGAAAAGAAGATGAAGGGAGATGGGAGAGGGGAGGAAAAGGAAAAATGAGTGAGTGACCTGTCGGCATGTGGGGAGGGGAGCAGGCCACAGTGGCACACGGGAGCCACCTGGGGCACAGAGCATCCAGCACTGCTGGCCTCTGCCCATGGCCTCAGCAAGATCCCCTCCTTATCTGCAGCTGTGGGAGAGCAAAGAGCCTATTATCGGGAGACGTGTCCTCTGTAGGACTATGGCTTACATCTGGTCAGAGTGGGAGGATGGATGAAGAGGAATGGATGCATTTAGAGAAGTGGTTCTAAACCTTTTGTTGAGTCTCAGACCTGTCTAAGAATGTGATGAAAGCTATGGCCTGCACGCTCTCCCCAGAAGAATGCCACTAAACATTATCATATTGTGTCTACAGTTCAACATCTTTGTGAATGCTCTGGAATCCTCCAGGATCCATGAACCTATGTGTCCAATTTAAAGGCTATTTAGGAGATACAAATCAGTGATGGACTGTATGTGATGGTTGACAGAGTGGGTCAGAGAGGAAGCCTGGGTTTAACGGCTGACGTAGTTGAGCGGATGATGGAACCATTCACTGAGACTGAGAACACCCAAAGAGGAACAAGTTTCTGGGGAAAATGCGGAATTCAATTTTGGACCTGCCAAATTTTAAGTGTCTGGAATGTCCAAGGGGAGATTTCCAGGAGGCAGTTGGACATATGGATATGAAGTGCAGGAAAGAAATGTCGGCTGGAGCGATAGACTTGGGACCCATCAACATGTAGATGGTTATTAAAGCTATAGGAATAGGTGAGGTTGTCTACCAAGACCGAGCAGAATGAGAAAAGAAAAGGGCTGGACATAACCTTATCAAACAAAATCATTTACCAAAAGGGCCGAGAAAGAGGGGCCCACAAAAGGAACGGAGAAGTAGTAGCTAAGAGTAAAGTCAGGAGAACTCGATAGCATAGAAACCAAGGGCAAATCTCCTTCCAAATGGAGGGGAGAGGTCAACAGTGCCAAATGTTACTCAGACAAGGCCTGAAAACCATCACCAGATTTAGCAACAAGACTGCTGATGGTAAGCACTGTCCATGGAGTAGTGGGGGTAGATGACAAATGACAGTGGCTTACAAAGGACAAAGTGGAAGGTAAAATACAATGGGTGAAGAGGTGACAGATGAAAAAAGGATAAAAAGCAAACCAGTGGTGATGAATTATGGACAATAGTGCAAACAATGTTTATCTGTCTGTCTATCTCTCTATCTATCTATCATCTATCTATGTATCTATGTGAAATTTCTCTCGTTGCCCAGGCTGGAATGCAATGGTGCAATCTCAGCTCACTGCAACCTCTGCCTCCAGGTTCAAGTGATTCTCCTGCATCAGCCTCCCAAGCTGCTGGGATTACAGGCTTGTACCACCACACCCAGCTAATTTTTTGTATTAAGTAGAGACGGAGTTTCACCATGTTGGTTAGGCTGGTCTGGAACTCCTGACCTCGAGTGATCCACCCACTTGGCCTCCCAAAGTGCTGGGATTACAGGCATGAGCCACCACACCCAGCTGTAAACAACTTTTTTTTTTTTTTTTTTTTTTTTTTTTTTTTTGAGACGGAGTATCACTCTTGTTGCCCATGCTGGAGTGCAATGGTGCCATCTCAGCTCACCTCAAACTCCGCCTCCCGGATTCAAGTGATTCTCCTGCCTCAGCCTCCCAAGTAGCTGAGATTACAGGTATGCGCCACAACACTCAGCTAATTTTCTATTTTTAGTGGAGACAGTGTTTCTCCGTGTTGGTCACGCTGGTCTCCAACTCCAGACGTCACGTGATCTGCCCACCTCGGCCACCCAAAGTGCTGGTTGAGCCACCACGCCTGGCCGCAAACAACATTTTAAAGCTATAGACAGTTCCTGGCTTACCATGGTTTGACTTATGATTTTTTGACTAAGAGGTACAAAAGTGATATGCATTCAGTAGAAGCTATACTTTGAATTTTGATTTTTTTCCCGGACTAGTGATAGGTGGTACGATACTCCTAAGTGAGATGTTCCACACTTTACTATAAAATAGGCTTTGTGTTGGATGATTTTGCCTGACTGTATGCTAATATAAGTGTTCTGAACACGTTTAAGGTATGCTAGGCTAAGCTATGATGTTTGGTAGGTTCGGTGCATTAAATGCATTTTTGACTTGCGATATTTTCAACTTACAAATGGGTTTATTAGGACGTGACTCCATCAAAGTCCAGGAGCATCTGTATTTGCCCATGACAGGGAGGAGATAAATAGGGTAGAAGCTAAAGAGTGACGAGGAATTGAGTCAATGGTTTTTTTTTTTTTTTTTTTTTTTTAACAGTCCAGAGGTCTTTTTTTTTTTTATTTATTTATTTTAACACCTATTATGCCATGAATTCAGGGAATAGGTTCCAGCAGCTCAGGCTCCTTCCCCTTGGTTCTCACAAAGTGTGCTTCTCTGGGTGGAACAGGCTGGCGCTTCAGTTGGACCCAGGTACCTTTCTCTTTGGCTTCTTTCTTTTTCTGATCATTTTCCTTCACACGTTTTAGGAAGCTATCTCGGCTCTTAGAGTGCTTGATGTGCTCAATACGCACATTAATTCTCTTGGCAAGAATCTTGCCCTTAACTTGTTTGTTTACAACAATGCCAACAGCATGCTGGGTAACATTGTAGACGCTTCCAGTTTTGCCATGATAACATTTGTGGGGCATTCCTTTTTGAACAGTACCCATTCCCTTGATGTCTACAATAGCACCTTTCTTATAGATTCGCATATACGTGGCCAAAGGAACAGCTCCATGTTTTCTAAAAGGCCTAGAGAACATGTATCCAGTGCCTCTCCTCTTTCCCTTTGTGTTCGCCACTTTGGCGAATTACTAGAAGACGGCGGTTCCGGCCGAAAGGCTGAGTCAATGTTTTTATTTTTAAATATCTTTATTGAGGTATAATTGCATTGCATAAAATTCACCTACTTTAAGTATACAATTAAATTAATTTTAGCAGGCTTACAGAGTCTTACAATCATCACTACAATCCACTTTTGGAACGTCCCAACCACCCCTAAAACATCCCTTGTCGTCCCTCTCTATCACACCAGACAGCCACTTAACCTACTTTCTGTCTATAGATTTGCCTTTTAGATTGGAGGATTTCATGCAAATGACATCATACAGTATGTGTTTTATGCTTTGTTTCTTTCACCAAGCGTAGTATTGTTGAGGTTGAGGTTTCATCATGGTATATCATATATCAGTACTTTATTGTTTTTAATTGCTGAATAGTATTTTATTGAATGAATATACCATATTTTGCTTAACTGCACTCACTGGTTGCATGACATCTGGGTTGTTCTCACCTTTTGGATATCACGAATAATGTTGTTATAACCACCCAAGTACAATTTGTGTGGACATATATTTCCATCTCTCTTGCTGGGTCACATGGTAAATTTAATACTGACTTTTTAGGAAACAATGGCAATGGATTTTTTTAAAAAAAAATTCTAGAGACTTTAGGCCAGGTGCGGTGGTTCATGCCTGTAATCCCAGCACTTTGGGAGGCCGAGGCAGGTGGATCATGAGGTCAAGAGATCGAGACCATCCTGGCCAACATGGTGAAACCCCACCTCTACTAAAAATACAAAAAATTAGTTGGGTGTGGTAGTGCACGCCTGCAGTCCCAGATACTCGGGAGGCTGACGCAGGAGAATTGCTTGAACCCAGGAGGCGGAGTTTGCGGTGAGCCAAGATCGCGCCACTGCACTCCAGCCTGGCTCCTGGCTACAGAGCAAGACTCTGTCTCAAAAAAATAAAAATAAAAAATAAAGATTCTAGAGACTTGAACATGTTTGAAGGCCATGTCAGAGAAAGGAAAAGGTTGAAGATACAGAATGGAGGAGAGAGAGGACGCAGGGATCAAGTTTCCTGAGACAGTAGAAGGGAATGGAGCTCAGAATTCAGGTGGAAGGATTAGTCAACAAGAAAAGGAGCACCATTTCCCCCCCGGGATAGGGGGGAAAGAGCAAAGAGTAGTCAGATAGGGATGCTCAGAAATTTGTCAAGGAGCTACCATGAACATTTGGAGAACACACCAGGAAACAAGATTGCCTGAGAGCACAGAGGGTCCAGTAGAAGTAGGGAATGTGAGTTTTTAGTGGCTCCCAACTGAGCAATTTATGGGCCCAGGATTGACATAGAGAAGATGGGAGTTTGTTTTCATCTGCAGTTGGGGCTGTGATGGAAATCTCAGCTGTATTATGTCATGTCATCCTTGGTTCCTGACTCTGCCTGGTTCTCCAGGCCTCTCACGGATGCCCTGGATTACTTGACACCACTTTCTCTTAGTCAGGATAGGTTGGCTTATGCTTTGAATAATACTATTTTATTTTACTTTACATTTCTTGAGACAGGGTCTCATGCTGTCTCCCAGGCTGGAGTGCAGTGGTATGATCATGACTCTCAGCAGCCTTGACCACCCCATGTTCAGGTGATCCTTCCACCTCAGCCTCCTAAGTAAGTAGCTGGTCCTGCAAGTGGACACCACCACACCCAGCTAATTTTTGTATTTTTTTTAAGAGACAGGGTTTTGTCATGTTGCCCAGGCCAGTCTTGAACTCTTGGGCTCAAGCCATCTGCCCATCTTGGCCTCCCAAAGTGCTGGGATTACAGACATAAGCCACTGGGCCTGGCCAACAACAGTTTGAAAGCCCAAATCTCAATGACTTGACACACAAAAGTTTATTTCTTGCTTATGCAAAATGTACTGCAGGTCAGAACAGCTCCCTTCTAAGAGGTAACGAAGGCGTCCAGGCTGATGGAAGCTCCACCATCTTGTGGCTGTCTCATCCAGTACCCGAGGCCTTTATGAATTCCACAGGAGAGGAAGAGAGTGCAGGAGGGTTGAGCACCAGTTCTCTGGATCATTGACCAGAGTTAGTCACATGGCCTCATCATCCTCTACAGGACTGGGAAATTCAGCAAATGGTAATTGACTCTACCACATCTTTTAAGAATTGTATTTTCTGCTACAGTTAACCAGAGTCATTGCTATTGCCTTCATTCAAGAACACTGACTAGTAAAGGATATGGGTGAGAAGATTTTAAAATATATATCTTCAATTTTTTTCTGCTTACAAAAGTGATATATACATGTTATAAAAATTTGAATGTGATCAGGCACAGTGGCTCACACCTGTAATCCCAACCCTTTGTGAGGCCAGGGTGGGCGGATCACTCGAGGTCTAGGGTTCAAGACCAGCCTGACCAACATGGCGAAACCCGTCTTTACTAAATAGAAAAATTAGCCGGGCATGGTGATGAGGGGCTGTAATGCCAGCTACTCAGAAGGCTGAGGCAGGAGAATCACTCGAACCTAGGAGGTGAAAGTTGCAGTGAGTCAAGATCACGCCACTGCACTCCAGCCTGCGCAACAGAGTAAGACTGTCTCAAAAAAAAAAAAAAAAAAAAAAAATCTGAGCATTACATAAATATTCAAAGTAGAAAGTGAAAAACCCCTCATAATCTCGCACTCCCAAGATAACTATATATTTGACATATATCTGGTATATATTTTATATATAATGACATATAGTTATGTATTACTGTATTACATATGTTATATATATATAACTATATATTTGGTGTATATTTTTCTTTATATCCTAATAGAAAACACATTTTTATCAAAAATAGGATCACACTGTACCTCTTATTTTGCAAATTCCTTTTTCACTTAATACTATGCTTTGACATCTTTCAAAGGTATGTAGATGTGTAATTTTCTTATTCCTTTATTCTTATTTTTATTTTAAAATAATTTTTAATCATGCAAATAATATAGAAATAGGTTCTCCTCAAAATTTTTAAAAGCTTTAGGTCGGGCATGGTGGCTCACATCTGTAATTCCATCACTTTGGAGCCTGAGGCGGCTGGATCACAAGGTTAGGAGTTCGACACCAGCCTGACCAACATGGGAAACCCCATCTCTACTAAAAATACAAAAATTAACTGGGTGTGGTGGCACGCACCTGTAATCCCAGCTACTCAGGAGTCTGAGGCGGGAAAATCGCTTGAAGCCAAGGAGGTTGCAGTGAGCAGAGGTCGCACCACTGCACTCCAGCCTAGGCGACAGAGTGAGACTCTGTCTCCAAAACAAACAAACAAACAAACAAAACCAAAAAACTTTAAGATTAGGCTAAAGTTCTTTTGGACTGTAACCCAATTCAAATTTTTTATCTGCCTTTAGCATACATTTGAATAACTGCACTGTATTCCTCCATCATATGGATACAATTTATTTGCAGAATTCCCTATTTTTTAACATTTGTGAAAGTTTTATTACTGACAGCACAGGTTACAAAAATCACAATTTATATTTGTATAACTTTATATACAAAGATGACGATGTAATCATACAAAGATATACGTGGTGATTTCTTCTGGTGATATTTTTGGTACTTTATCTTCATTTTCTTCTATGTGCTTTTCTTTCTCTTTTCTCTTTTTAACTTTTGTAGGTAAATAGCAGGTGTATATATTTATGTATATGGTGTTTTGTCACAGACATGCAATGAGAAATTAGCACATTATGGAGAATGGTTTATCCACCCCCTCAGGCATTTATCCTTTGAATCACAAGCAATCCAATTACACTCTTAGTCATTTAAAAATGTGCATATATTATTGACTCTGGTCACCACGTTGTGCTATCAAATAAGTAGGTCTTCTTCATCCTTTCTAACTACTTTTTTGTACTCATTCTTTCTAACTATGTTTTTTGCACCCATTAACCTCCCCTGCATTTTCCCCTCACCACTGCCCTTCCCAGCCTCTGGTAACCATCCTTCTACTCTGTATGTCCATGAGTTGAATTGTTTTGATTTTTAGAACCCACAAATAAGTGAGAATGTGCATTGTTTGTCTTTCTGTGCCTGGCTTCCTTCACTTAACAAAGATCTCTAGTTCCGTCCCTGCTGTTGCAAATGATAGGATCTCATTCTTTTCTATGGTTGAATAGTACTCCATTGTGTGTATGTACCACGTTTTCTTTATCTACTCATCTGTCGATGGACAATTATATCGCTTCCAAATTTTAGCTATTATGAACACAGCTGTAATAAACACAGGAGTGCAGATACCTCTTCAATAAGATGATTTCTTTTCTTTTGGATATATACCTAGAGTGGGATTGCTGGATCATATGATAGCTCAATTTTCATTTACATTCTCAATAAATTGGGAATGTAAATTAGTATGAGGTTTCCCTTTTCTCCACATCCTTGCTAGCCTTGGTTACTGCCTGTTTTTTACCCGCCTTTTTAATTGGGGTGAAATGATATCTCATTGTAGTTTTGATTTGCATTCCTCTGGTAATCACCTTTTCATATACCTGTTTGCCACCGGTATGTCTTCTTTTGAGAACTGTCTATTCAAATCTTTTGCCCATTTTTTGAGCTCCTTATATATTCTGGTTTTTATTTAATTTTATTTATTATTATTATTTTTTGAGACAGAGTTTTGCTCTTGTCACTCAGGCTGGAGTGCAATGGCACAATCTCAACTCATTGTAAACTCTACCTCCCAGGTTCAAGCGACTCTCCTGAGTAGCTGGGATTACACGCATGCACCACAACGCCCAGCTAATTTTGTATTTTTTGTAGAAACGAGGTCTCACCATGTTGACCAGGCTGGTCTCAAACTCCTGACCTCACACGATCCACCTGCCTCAGCCTCCCAAATTGCTGGAATTACAGGTGTGAGCCACCGTGCCCAGCTATATTCTGGTTATTAATCCCTTTGCAGATGGTAGTTTGCAAATATTTTCTGTCATTCCGTGGATTGGCTCTTCACTG